CCCCAAAACCCCAAAACCCCAAAACCCCTTTGAGATTCGTCTGGTTTGAAATAAATTTTGTATTTTAACTAAAGTGTGACTATAAAAATTAATGAATATCGACCGAAGTTCTTACAAAGACAAATTTAAAAACATCATTGATGCCCAAAGAAATAGAGAACCCGGAGAAGACATCATAGAGATAGAACAGACATTTGGATCAACAGATCAGATTAAGGTTCAAGCTGAACAGCAGACTAAGAAGTATTCAGATAAACAGTCAATAAGAAGTCAAAAACTAATAAAGGAAGCCAAATACTCAACTACTAAGGAAGAACCACTTTCATGATTGGAAAATATAGTACGACTCAATTCCTCGTTGTCAAGCTTGTGTACATTGGAATCATCCTGCTGTCCGCTTCTATCTCAGAACTCGTATGGGTTATCTTTGATGCTAGACCAATTGAGTTGGTGCAGGGAACATTTATTGTATTCTCTCTTGGATTATCTGTTATTATTATTCCTCAGATAGCTTTAAAGAGAGCACTTAATGAATCCGAGAAAGGCGAACCAGATATTGAGAATCGAGAGCATGATATGGAAAATATAATGCCAAGTCCGAATGAGGTCTTCACTGTTCTTAGGAAAGATCAATAATTAGAAATGCCTCTGTTGGAAATAATGACCGGAGACCAGATCAAAATCATGGCAGGTATGATCATGCCTGCTCATTGCTTGCTGCTCAAGGGAGAAGGAGTCTATGCTTCAGAAGAAGCCATCACTCAAGATTCCAAAGAAATCAAGAAGCTACCTTTTGATGCCTGCAAACTTAAAGCTCAGGAGAAGTTCGACCGAGAAGATCATAAGTCTGAAGAGCCTCTACAAAGCAACCAAAGAGAAACCACATCTCCAATCATTTTTGCTGGGAGCCAGATCCAAACTGGAGAAGGATACGCTTTGGTTTTGGACTTTGCAGCTGATACAAGTGAACAACAGCCTGGGACAGTTAAAGCTGAAAGTTCTCCAAAAGATTCTCAACAAGGAGCTTTCCACCAACTTTCAAAGTACGTCTTCTACTGCTGCTGAATCTGAGCTGGAGTAACTCTGACCATCCTTGTGCTGAGGTTCATCATCTAAGAAACAGTGGGAGGATTTGAGTTTTCGAGTAGAATCGACAACTACATCGAGGAGTGGTACAGATTCATCCTGATTACTCTCAGCATTATAGTCTTTGTATTTCTTAGAGATTTCTCCTCTAAATTGCATAGAGAGTTAATTCAGTTATGTAAATGTATACTCTGAGATAATGTCTTTGTCAAGAGTCTTAGCTCTATTCGTAAATTAGAGAAAATTACAGAAACCTTGGTTTATAAAACTGGAACAATCATGAAAAATGAATTGAGAGTAACAAAGTTATGGAAAGGAAATTTTATGATATGGGCTCTAGCAGTTTGAGATGCAGCCTTGAAGATTATTTTATAAACAAGAAGAGCGAAAATCTGTTCTTGCAAGGATGAGCATGCAATACTACAGGAACAACAGAAGAATCAAATGCAACTGAGAAAGCTATACTTTAAATGATAGAAGATTTGGCTGTGATTATGAACAACTTAGGGAAGAACACCTTGGAGAATCCTTCACAAGATTCAATTTTACTTCTAGAAGAAAGAAGATGAGCACCATACTCAACAACATTAAAGACAATGAGCATGGCTATAACAAGAAACTGCACACCAAAGGAACTGCTGAGATTGTTTTATCTCAGTGTACTCACTACCTTGATAAAGATGGCAACTCCCAACCAATGACACCTGAGAAGAAGGACTACTTGATCAACAATGTTATTAACGAATATGCCAAAAATGGCATGAGGACTATCTGCTGAGCTTACAGAGACCTCAAGCCAGACGAAGGATGCAAAGATCACGACGAAGATGCGCCAGACAGAGTCAACAAGGCGGTTGAATAATCGCTCACTTGAGTCTGAGTTTTTTGCATCAGAGATACGTTGAGACCAGAAGCTGAAGATGCAATCCACAGACTTCAAAAATATGGTGTCAATGTGAGAATAGTTTCTGGGGATAACAGGGTGACTTGTAAAGCAATAGCTGAAGAAGTTGGAATCATTCCAAAAGATCAGAATAACTTTGAAGAATTTATCATGGAAGTTCCTGAATTTACACAGAGAATCTCTAGTGGAAGAAATAAAGGAATCAATCTTTATGAATTTGAGAAATTCAACAAAAGTATGAAAATTATGGCGAGGTCCTGTCCAGAAGATAATTATAAGTTAGTAATAGCACTTCAGAAAATGGGAGAGATACAGGTTATTATTAATCTGAGATTATTCTTTAAAACAAATATGTGCTTAGTAAATTTTTACCAGATTTAAGAGGCTACCTTCTGCTCAATTAAACTAGGAAATATTGAGCACTGGGATCTTCTGAAAATGAGACCAATGAGCCTTATTGAATACAACCATCACTCAAGGGCTATTGTAAGAACATTTTTAAATTAATAACAAATCTTATTCCAAGGTTTTATGCACGAATTTTATTTTTAGAAATAATTTAAGTTACTTCCAGAATTTATCAGATTTTCTTTGAAATAAAAAGTGTCAAAAATCCTTCAAAATAATGTTTAATATTAATTTCCCTGCTCGTTCTCATCATCAAGCCATTTTATAGTGGCTTTTACAGGAGATGACACAGGAGACGCTCCATCTCTTAAGAAAGCTGATGTTGGAATTGCAATGGGCATCACCGGAGCTGATGTTGCCAAAGCTGCCTCAGACATGATCTTGCTTGATGACAACATTGCTTCAATCGCTAAGGCTCACTTCTGGGCAAGTACAATACCTCAAAATATTAGAAGATTAGTCCAAGTGCAGTTGGTCCTGAACCTGCCCATCTTGTCTATCTTGGTGATGGGAAGCATCTTTCTGAGAAAGCAGCCTCTGAAGTCTGTGCATTTTCTATGGGTCACATTCATCGTTGATTTCTTAAGTATCGTTGCTCAATTCGGAGATGGAATAATGAGTAAATGGTCCATTTTGATTAGTATTTAAAACAAAGTATTTGAATTGTAGATCTGGTCTGAAGTTTTGAGTTTTACTCTCTCAATGAAAAAGAAACGCTGAGCTTTCTCATCAATATTATAGAACAAGATTCCAGCCCAGCAGGATCTGGCTACATCACCCAGAAAGTACTCAAGCACATTGTCATCATGGTGTTGTTCCAAACTCTTGTGATTTTGCTATTAATCTGGCTTTAAGAACTCATGATTCCTGAAGATGACGACTATTGCCCTAACACAGATGGAGACTTTGTGCATCCTGGAAGAGCCTACACCTGGGCAGAACAGAACTTTACAAGAGAGTGCCCAAAATCGATCATGGACAAGAACCCAGCAGACATTACACAGTGGTGTTCAACACATTCGTGTTCATGCAAATATTCGCTGGATTTTGTGCCAGGACCATGAACGATGAACTCAACATTTTCTGAGAAATTCACCAGAGAGTGTTGTTCTTGGCTTCGATTGAAGGCGTAATGGTTGTACACTTCGTGGTGACTCAGTGGACATAAGACATCTTCCAAGTGTCCAGGAAGGGTCTTCATTGGTCGCACGGGTTGTTCTCAATTGGAGTGGCCTTGTCTGTGTTCATAGTGAACCTATCGACAAAACTAGTGCCAGATAAGGTGTTTCCAGACCTCTTCAATAGTAAGAAGACAAATCAAATCCACAATGAAGAAGGAAGAATAGATAAAACTGAAGAAGTGAGTGAGAGGGATAAATTCTTTGTTAACAGCATTGGCAATAATGAATAAATTATTTCCTAACTCTTCAGTTATATTATTTTAACTAGGGGTTTTGGGGTTTTGGGGTTTTGGGGTTTTGGGG